ACACACACACACACACACACACACACACACACACAAAATCTTTCTATGGTGATTCATTATTGGAGCCAATAGTGAATTCTATTGCAAGCTGTCAACCCAAGGAGACTCTGAGTACAGGAGTGGGGTATATAAGAACTCCCAATCTTTTTACCACTCTTTTGAAAATCTGAAAATGAACTAAAACCAAACTGAAATCTGAGACTGGGAAGATGGCTCAACTGGCAAAGTGATTGCCCCACTAATATGAGGACCCATGTTTATATCCCCAGCAGCAATGAGAGGAGCCAGGCATGGTGGCACATGCCTGTAATGGCCGTGCTGGGGAGGCAGACAGGAGGACCCTGGTGCTCCTTGGCCAGCTAGTCTTGCTGACCTGATGAGCTCCAGCGTCAGTGAGAGAACATGTCTTAAAACAGTAGGACACGGAATGAGAGAAGAACATCTCTGACTAGACTCTGCTTTCCACACACAGACACAATTTAAATGAAAATCTAAAGTCTATTTTGAAAAAAGAGAAAACCCATGCTGCCTATGCTTCCACTTGACTTGTTAAAGCCCCGAGGTTGCTATGCTAAGGGTGTGCAATTGAGGAGAGGTTTTAAATAATGGCACCCTCACTCGGATGGTCTCATGAAGTTCAGGCTGCCCAGAATTCACTGTGTGGACACGGGTGACCTTGAACTCTAGTCCTCCTGCCCCTCAAGTTCCAGGACTGCAGGTTTGTGTCACTACACTCCTCTGATTCTAAGGACTCCATTGATTCTAAGGACAATCTCTGAGGTGAACCTATGGGACTGTCCTTATTTGGGTGACAAGTTGAGGACCTCTAATGAAACATCCTGGCCACACAGCAAGCAAAAGACAAACCAAGCACTAGGCTCATGGCTTTTGCCTTCTGGTTTTCGCCCAGGAATGCTGGCCTAGGCCAGATATTTTTTCATCTGACTTTTTGGAGTAAGAAGACTCCTTAAACTATTGTGCCCTTGTGCACTGCTTGTTCCTTCCTTCAGCCGGAGGCTTTCTTTACTTCTCGTGGACACATTGAAAGCTTCTTCCCTGTAGCCCCCATTCCAATTTATTCAGCACAGTTCAGAAGGGTGTGTGGGTTTTTTTTTTATTGATTTTATTGAGCTCCACGTTTTTCTCTGTTCTCCTCCCTTCCTCCCCCCACCCCCTCTGCCCTCTCCCAAAGTCCCCATGCTCACAATTTACTCAGGAGATCTTGTATTTTTCTACTTCCCATGTACATTAGATCCATGCATGTTTCTCATAGGGTCCTTTTTGTTGTCTAGGTCCTCTGGGATTGTCAATTATAGGTTGTTTTTTCTTTACTTAATGTCTAAAAGCCAATTATGAGTGAGTACATATGATATTTGTCTTTCTGGGTCTGGGTTATCTCACTCAATACGATGTTTTCTAGATCCATCCATTTGCCTGCAAGTTTCAAGATGTCATTATTTTTTTTCTACTGTGCAGTACTCCATTGTGTAAATGTAGCACATTTTTCTTTTCCATTCTTTGGTCAAGAGGCATTTAGGTTGTTTCCAGGTTCTGGCTATGACAAACAATGCTGCTATGAACATAGTTGAGCACATGTCCTTGTGGCATGATTGAGCATCCTTTGGTTATGTACCTAAAAGTGAAATTGCTGTGTCTTGAGGAAGGTTGTTTCCTAATTTTCTGAGAAATTGCCACATTGTATCAGCTTGTGCTCCCACCAGCAATTCAGAAGTGTTTCCTTTAATCCACAACCTCTCCAGCATAAGTTGCTATTAGTGTTTTTGATCTTGGCTATTCTTACAGGTGTAAGATGGAATCTCAGAGTTGTTTTGATTTGCATTTCTCTGATGACTAAGGATGTTGAGCATTTACTTAAGTGTCTTTCAGCCATTTTTGATTCCTCTGTTGAGAATTCTCTGTTTAGGTCTGTACTCCATTTTTTTAATTGGATTATTTGTTTGATGACCAATTCTTGAGTTCTTTGCATATTTTGGAGATCAGACCTCTGTCTGATGTGGGGTTAGTGAAGATAACTTTTCCTATTCTGTAGGCTGCTGTTTTGTCTCGTTGACCATGTCCTTTATTTTAAAGAAGCTTCTCAGTTTCAGGAAGTCCCATTTATTAATTCTCTCAGTGTCTGTACTACTAGGGTTACATTTAGGAAGTAGTCTCCTGTGACAATGTGTTCAAGTGTACTTCCCACTTTCTCTTCTACGAGGTTCAGTATGGTTGGTTTTTTGTTGAGGTCTTTGATCCATTTGGACTTGAGTTTTGTACGTGGTTATAGATATGATCTATTTTCATTCTTCTACATGTTGATATCCAGTTATGCCAGTACCATTTGTTAAGTATGCTTTCTTTTTTCCATTTTATTTATTTTGCTTTGTCAAAAATCATGGTCTTCTATTTGGTTCCATTTGGTCCTCCTGTCTCTACTTATGCCAATACCAGGCTGTTTTCATTGCTGTAACTCTGTAGTAGAGTTTGAAGTCAGGGATTGTGATGCCTCCAGAAGTTCTTTTATTGTACAGGATTGCTTTGGCTATCCTGGGTGTTTTGCTTTTCCATATGAAGTTGAGTACTGTTCTTTCGAGGTCTGTGAAGAATTTTGCTGGGATTTTGCTGGGAGTGTTTAAGGTAGAACTGTCTGTTTACCTCCCTCCAAACACTACCTACTGCCTACTGAAATAAGTTCAGACTATGTACTCGTCTTTTCACCTTTGACCCCACACCAGTGTCACATTCTCTTCTTCCCAGTTCCCAGCAGCTTCTCTTGTCTCTGCTTTAAGTTCATCAGTCTTTGATTGATGTCCTAACCAATGCACAAAACCTGCCAGCAAGGAAGGCCGTTTATAAAATTACAGAGACTCAACCTAGAAACTCCGAAGTTTCATGTGTGATTACAGAGCAGATATCCAAGCCACCACTATCACCCGCCCAGGGCGAACTGGCTGCCAGAGAGTTGGGAGGGAAGCACCAAGAGTATTTCCAACTAGGGGGCGGGCCATGAGATGGTCCCAAAAAGGGGTCATTTCCCCTCTTGGATGAGTTGACCCTGACAGGGAGAAGAACATTTATGACTTATTGGTTCCTTGAAAACACTCATTCCCGCTCTGCCTGCCCCAGACTCACCCTCCCATGCCCCGCTAGCCTAGCCCATCACTGTCCCATACCACACCCTTGGGAGGAATGGACAGAGGAGTGGGAACTGGGCCACTTAAAAACATTCTAGGCGACAGTCATTTGTTTCTTGACTGTTTGGATGAAATTAATTAAAGCATGAGCATATCACTTTTATTTCCCCACACTTGACAACCATTTGGAGATTGGCTCGGAGGGCATCTTCCTGCAAGCAGTTAGATGGCGGCAGGGTAAATTGGGGCGCTGTTACTGATTGTGCAGGTGGGGAGCTGTCAGAAGCACAAAAATTCAGACTTAGTTGGGGCAGTTGTCAAGAGAGATGGGAAATCTAAAATTGGAGCCCCAGGCTTCTGTCTTGGGGTGAGCCAACAGCAATGGCCCGGGAAATGTGGAAGTCAGCAGCAGCTGAGGTCGAGGTAAAAAGTGAAGTCTCTGAAGGCTTTAGGACTAGTCTGGTGGGGAGGTGCGTGTGGGCCTTGGATTTACCCCTGAGATCCTGCTGATGTACACACCCAGAGAAACTGTCCAGGACTGCCCCTTCACCTTTCAAGGCAGTGAATGGTTGGAGCATTTCCTGACTGTCTGATTATCTCCTTCCAGAAGCAGCTCTCTGACCACATACCCACTGGCCACCTGCGTTACTCCTTTGTGGCCTTGGCCACTGCTTTGAACCAGAAGGTAGAGGAATGAGCAGAGACGGCTGGGCCTGAGACCAGTCACACACTGCAGGCCCCATTCTCTCTCTCTCTCCCCCTTACTGAACTCTGGAAAGGTCCAGGACCCTCTCTGCAGCATACTTTCGCTCAACACCGCCTGATTATTAAAGGCTGTTCCTTGAAGCTCTTACAGAAGCCGGATTGCACCTTGGAGCGTGGTGCTGTGGTAGAGCGCTGGGCTGGGCAGTGAGCTAGGCTTGGGTTCATCTTCAGCATCACATGCCTACACAACGGTGGGCAAGGCATAGAAAGGGGTTAGCTCGTGCTCAGGGGAAGGGGCTGCCAACAGAAAGGACTGGAAAAAAAAGGCAGAAAAGGAAAAAAAACACATTTTAAAAATTTTTATGTGTTAAAGAGTTGGGAGCAGAGGGATGGGAGGGGTGTATCTGTCCTGGGTGGGGCGATCTTTCGCCAGTCCGAACTCCAGGGTCCTGGTGCGGCCGCGCCCACCCCGCCGCGTAAGCGCGCTTCCGGAAACTGCTCGCCTGGGAACCCGGTTTCCCCGCGCAGGTTCCGGAAGAGCTCAGCTCCCTGAGCCGGGCGTGCAGTACAGCCGCGGGCTGCTGTGGCCTCTGGGGCCAAGTGCTTTGTTCCCGGCTCCTTGTTGCCCCTGCGCGCGCAGAGGCCGAAGTCCTGGAGTCGCGCGCGCCTGGCGCCGCGAGGGCTGAGCACCGGGTGCGATCGCTGCACCCGCAGCTCAGGAGCTCGTGCGCCCTGCGCAGCTTGGGGGCGGTCCCACGCAGCTGCTGCTCCCGTGCGGTCCCTACGAGGCGGTCGCCCCGAGACTGCCTAGGCGGTGCGATGCTGGGCCCGCCCGGGAGCCCGGGAAGGGAAAGCGGAAGCCACGAGCCGGGCCGGTGACCTCGAGGACTCGGCGTCTCTCTACGGCTGCCGGCAGCACCCGCGCCTGTTCTCGGCTGTCAGTCCCGCGGCACCCGGGGCGCCGTAACCATGGCCATCGCTCACCTGGCCACGGAGTACGTGTTCTCGGACTTCTTGTTGAAGGAGCCCACCGAGCCCAAATTCAAGGGGCTGCGGCTGGAGCTAGCTGTGGATAAGATGGTCACATGCATCGCTGTGGGTCTGCCTCTGCTGCTCATCTCGCTGGCCTTCGCTCAGGAGATCTCCATCGGTGAGGCCGGGGGCGCAGGGGCGGCCTGGGCTAGGCTGGCATTGTCTGGGGTTGGCAGGGCCCGCTCAGGGGAGATCTCATTGCACACAGCCGGCATTTCCTCACGCCCCTCACGCCCCTCCTAATGTAGCCATCTTGCTCATACCGGATTTGAGACTAAAGATTTATTTTGCCTATGTGCAATCTGGGTACCTCTGTTGACCCTGCTAGCATCCTCCCTGCAGTACCTTTGTCTCCCGCCCCATGGTTGTGGCTTGGAGTTCACATCCAGCCTGTTGCAGCTAGACGTTCCAAGAGTGTCTTTTCCTACTCCTCTCCCCAGAAATTGTGCAGTCAGTCACCTAAAATTTCACACCAAGGAAGTTCCCGAGTGGCTCCAGGAAGGATGTAAAGACAAGCGGTCCGTGTACAGTGTTTCACTGTGCTTTTCAGTGATCCTTGGGGTCTGTCTTAGGGTGGGGTGTGATGGGGAGTAATACCGTTGGAGATGGAAGAGGTCCTTCACCCAGGCTGTGAATGAAAGTTGAAGAAATGACTTAATCTTCTTCATATAACTATCATTTCATCTTAATAGTTATGCAAAATCCAAAGTCTAGTGTTTGGGGCAGGATCATGAGCCAGAGTGAGTGGTCTTACTTACCAGCTACCCTGACATTCAGTGTGTGAATTGCAGGTAAGTAGTGTGTGTGTGCGGGGAGTGGGGACAACGGCACTTGCAGGTGGGGCAGGACCTTGTTGAGTGTCTGTGCCAGGGTGGGTGGAGTGTGGAGTGACCCAAATGAGATGCTTGTCAGGGGGCTGTGCCAGCCAAGAGCGGGGGAGGGGGGGCTCTAGGAGCTTAAGGTAATGCGGGCCTGGGTCAGGTTACTAAGGGAGGCACCTGCTCACTCACCTGGGACTGGGAGGCTGTTGATTGGCAGACTGGTCGACAACAGCACTCGGAAAGTGATAGTGAGAGTACATTGGTTCTGGATGTAGGAAGGGAGTGAGGATCTGGACATGTGACTGCCCTGAGCTATGGCATCAGTTGAGGTCTTGTGCTTTGATGGGCTGAGTGGAGGAAGGAAAGGGGGGGCACTTCTGAGAGACGAGGGAGCAATAGGAAACAGCTGGATACCTAGATTTTAACGGGCTGTGGAGAGAAGAGAGCGAGGCCGTCTGTATACCCGAGTGAGCTGAGGTGCCGGTGGAAGCTGGAGTCGAGGCAGGGCTTGGGCGGGAAAGGGCATGGCTGGTGCAGCTCTGTGACACTGTGGTGGAAAGTCGCTGAAGCAAGGGTGCAGAGTGAGCTGTGGGTTTTCCTGGTTCTCGGGCAGGGATGATCCCGCTGAAAGGGAAACCACAGAGTCACTTGGAGGCTGATGATAGTCTCTGCAGCTTCCAGCTATGGACTGAACCAAGTGCCAGGCATCAGAATCCCGGGAATAAATGTCCCTGTGATAAAGATGCAAGTCCTGGACAGCTGGTGTGGGCAGAGGCCAACAGGGAGGAGCTGGTCACTCTCTGTGAAGTCCCCCTTCTAGAAGGCACCTGGAGCTGGGGTCTGTTATGCAGGTCCAGATGGATGTACTGTGTGAGAGGCATCTTGGGGGAAGTGGGGGTGGGTCCAGCCAGCAAGACTCTGCTTGGGCTGTGTATGCGCTCCACTGTGCACTGTGGGGGATAGGAAAGGATTCAAGGCATGACCCTCTCTACCAGCAGGAGTTTACCATCCCACTGGACATTAGTCTGCTACCAGGTGACATTCCTCCACCCCTGTGATTTCAGGATAAGGCAGAGGGAACTCCTGAGCACCAGGCTGGCTGGCACTTAGGCGAACACTCAGGCAGATGGCCCTGTCTTCTGAGGGCTCAAGCCTTTCGAGGGGAAGACAGGTGTGTAATGAACCCCACAGAAAGTCCTAGGAGATCAGTATTCACAATCAAGGATTAATTTTGTGTAGTTTAACTGTGTGCCATCAAATGAAAAACACACCCAAGAGAAGGATGAGAATGAATATTGTAGTAATTTAATTGTAATAACCCCAGTGTGCTGGCTAGTTCTATGAAAACTCGACACAAGCTAGAGTCATGGAAGAGGGAACCTCGGTTGAGAAAATGCCCGCACCAGATTGATAATCGATGTGAGAGGGCTCAGGTCACTGGACAGAGCGCTACCACTGGGCGTGTGGTCCTGGGATGTATAAAAAAGGAGGCTGAGCAAGCCACGGGGAGCAAGCCAGGAAGCAGCACTTCTCCGTGGCCTCCAGGTTCCTGCCCTGATTTCCCTCAGTGATAGAGGCTGACATCAGAACTGTAAACTGAAATAACCCTGTATCCCCAAGTTGCTGTTGGTCACAGTGTTCATCACAGCAATAGAAACCTTAATCGCAACAACCAAGGATGGTGGAGCTGTTTAAATGAAGCAGACAGTTTGCCCACCACACTGTTGGGAAGGACAGCCCCGGGAGTGTGGGGCAGGACTTGGCAGCTCCAAGCACGGCTGAGTGACCCTCTCCTGGCCCTTACCCCTCCCACTCTCTTGTCTGGAATACTTGTGTCTGTCACATAGCCTGTCTATGTGTCTGTCACATAGCCTGTCTATATGTCTGTCACATAGCCAGTATTTAGTCTTTGATTGATCCATTCCTGAGGACTGTAGAGTGTGTCATGACTGAGGTAGCTTTGGTGGCTTTTGCAGACACTTGGGGCTGGGACTGCTCACTGGTCCTAACTGACCTTACAGTGAGGACAATTACAGACACACCCTCTGGAAGGAGCTGCTCAGAAATGCTCTTAACTTCCAAGTCCTGGATCACATTTTGAAGATTGTAGTTTCCCGGAATGTAAGAACTCAGAACTCAGTTGGGCAGCTGCTGTGGTTGCTTCTAATGCTTCACTCCATGGAAGACAGTTGGAATGGAATTGTGAACTGGGGGTGGAGAAGGGAGAGTTGGCGCCAAGTGCCCTACAGGCACTCACTCTGCTCCTCTCTCACCTTGCTTCAGTCTTGTGCAGTGTGTGCTGGATGTTCTCAGAGAAGGCTTTGAGGTTGCTGGCCACTCCGCCTGTCTGATCTGATTTTCAGCCCGCTGAGATGACAGCAAGTAGCTCTCACAGCTGTGGAGTTGCCTGCTGCCAGACCTCCCCAACAGGGAGGGGTTTATAAAACAAGATAATCCTGTCCCTTAGCTGTCCCATCAGCTGCAAAGAGCTGCTGTCTGTGAGCATGGAATGATCCTTAGCTTCCCAATAACAGCACATCCTCATCAGCTCACGCACCTTCAGCTCGCTCATCCTTGGCTCACACACCCTCCGCTCAGCTTGAGCATTCTCAGGTCGCGCACCCTCGGCTTACACGTCCTTGCTTCACACGTCCTTGGCTCACACATCATCAGCTTGCACGACCTCCCTTCGTATATCCTCAGCGTACATCCTCAGCTCGCATACCCATGGTCGCATACCCTCAGCTCTCAAGTCCTCGGCTCTCACATCTTCTGTTCTTACATTCTTGGCTCTCACATCCTCAGCTCATCTCTCACATCCTCGGCTCAGCTCTCACATCCTCGGCTCAGCTCGCACATCCTCAGCTCACACTCAGCATCAGAGCACCACGAAGAGGGTGTGGAGGTCAGGAAGGGCCCTCTGGCACAGGTGTCTGACTTTGTCTGTGTTTCTAGAGGACAAGTGGGAAATTCATAGGCCCTCTTCTCCCTTCGCAGCCTCGTGTATGCATCGTACTTGTTAGGCAGGCCCATGCCACAGTAACCTATTTCCTCTACTTAGTACGTTTGGGGTACTTTTTATGTCATAACACAAGTGTCACCTTGTTGGGCTTTTGATTGTTGTTGATCTGTGTGCTTACATGTACTTAATGTGTCTGTGTGTATGTGTGGGTACATACATGCCACGCCACGTGCATGAGTGTTGCTAAGAGGACAACTTGCAAAAGGGGTTTCTCTCTCTCCTTCATGTGGGGCCTGGGGCTCAAACTCAAGGCACCAGGCTTAGAGAGCCATCTCACCCCTCGCTGGCTTTTAATGGCGGAATGAACCCCGTAGCATAATGCAGTCCAACCACACATCAGCTGAACAGTCCCCTGTGTCAGCCACTAAGATTCAGCTCTGACACATTTGCTTGTAATAATCTTGGCAAATGCTTCCCTTTTCCTCTCACTGAGCAAAAGATGAGAACAATATCTGTTTCCAGAAAGATGAACTCATCTCCCAGAATGACTTTGCAATCCTAAGTTCGTATTTCAGCCAAGTATAAGAACGCAGGCCTTGACCTGTCCAGGCTTGACTCCTACAAAGTCGACTACCAAGGTACTCTGACCTCCATATGTGTACAGAAGCACACGCCACCTCTGACATACACACACACACACACACACACACACACTCACGCATGCACACACACATGCACACACTCACAGATAAAGAAATGATTGTACAAATAATTTTAAAAACCGATTTTATTTTTTTCAACTTCATTATTACTAGACTACTATCCGTTTATTTTTTTTTCTTGACCATCTTCAGTGATTTTATTTCACATTTGCCACTTGGTCTGTTTTGTTGTTTCAATACGATATCAAAACTTGTATTGATATCTTCTCACTGCTGCTTGCTGGGAAGCCTAGGAGTGCTGGCTAGTTTTATGCTAACTTGATACAAGCTAGAGTCATAGGAGAGGAGGGAGCCTCAATAGAGAAAGTGCTTCCATAAAAGTCAGGCTGCAGACAAGCTTGTAAGACATTTTTTAAGTTAAAAATTGAGGTGGGAAAGCCCAGCCCATGGTGGATAGTGCCATCCCTAAGCTGGTGGTCCTGGGTGCTCTCAGAAGGCAAGCTTAGCAAGCCTTGGGAACTAGCCAGCAAGCACACCCCTCTGTGGACTGTGCATCAGCTCCTGCCTCCAGGATCCTTCCCTGCTCGAATTCCTGCCCAGACCTTCAGTGATGAACAGTGATGATGGAGAGTAAGCCAAACAGACACTTTCCTCCTCAAGGTGCTTTGGTCAT